GCTTATCAAGCTCTTCATACTCACGCTTTTCGGCGTCTTTCTTTTTCTGCCTTCAAATGCGTCTGGCTTCACTCTTCAACTCTCGGTATCTATCCCATCCCTCACGTGTTGTGGTCGATCGTAACGTTGCGAGGTAGGTAGTTTGTTTTCTCTCCGTTGTGGCATAGCACTCTTCGTCGTACTAGCTGTTCTTTTGTACTTTCCGAAAACCAATGGTTTCGGTTGTAGCTGTACGTAAGGAGTTTGAAATACCGTCCCACAGTTCCCTTATACCGAGTTGTTGACGAGTGCTCTCAGATAGCCGAGTACAAAATCGTTCGGCTGTCTGTTGTGATTGCAGCTTCTCGACGTCGAACCTTCATTCTGTTTGATGTCGTGCGTTTTTTGCTGCACAGATGCCGATGGGAATCTTGGCTGCTATAAGATAGTGATCCGAGACGATGTTAGGACCTCGGAGCGCACGCACATCTAAAATACTGGAAACGTGTCCTTCGTCTATCACAACATGATCGATCTGGTAGCTTCATGAATCTTCTTATGGTGGAATCTAGTACTACAGATAACCATTATTCGGGCTCCGGCGATGTCGATCAGCCGCAACCCATTTGGGGATGTTTCGTCGTGGAGGCTGAATTTACCGACCGTAGTTCCAAAGATACCTCTTTGCCCTCCCTGGCGTTAAAGTCGCCAAGCACGATTTTGACATCGTGGCGAGGGCTGTTCTAATAAGTGCGCTCCAAGCACTCATAAAAGGCATCTTTGGTCACATCGTACTTCTCATCCGTCGGCGCGTGGGCGCAAATCAGCGATATGTTGAAGAACCTCGCTTTGATGCGGATTACTCGGCGACGGAGTCTCTTCCACACCAAACTTGCGTTCCTTTATATGACCACTGTAGTAAATGCCACAAGAACCTACCCGTTTCTGTGAAATAAAAAAAAAAAAATGTACTAAAGCTGAAAATGCGCCTAATATATATTAAAAAAGTTTACGTAGGCCAATGATTATGTATATAAATCAAAAGTAATTATAATAGTTTTAGCAGTTTAAAAAAAGTTTTTTTTGGTCTACAATTTGTTGCTATTATTGTCCCTAGACGTCGACTTATGCTCCCGACTCAATTTTTAATATTATTTTGACCCACTAAGTCCCTGATTTAGATTTTTGGCCTTATTTTGATGTTTTCGAATACGATTTTAAAAAAAGTTCCAGATATTTTGAGTAGGATGAAGTCGAGTGATTGCGGGACCCATGGAGGTTTTTTATTTTCACAAAAATCCTGGACGTACAAGATACAATGTGTATTTTGGGTCGGTATCTTGTTGTAAATAAAAGTGGCCGCTATTAACAGCCGATTTAAGCACACTTAACATTTAAATTATTTTGTTACAATGATCAGAAATACATTTTCGAAAAGTAAATCCCCAAACAGTAGGGAATGTATGGAATAGTGCTGGTTATCGTTGACGAATCGCTCGTCGGTGGTTATCATAGAGGTCGGCGTTTGCTAAACAATATTTTAACAAGCCGTACTGGTTTTGGGAAAACATTGTGTTCACCGACGAATCAAAATTTAATATATTTGGTTCAACAAGATTACGAAAAGTGTGGAGAAAGATCAATGAAGAGTCGCATGGAAAAAATGTAATACCACGGTAGGAGTAATGTTATGGTTTGGGGGTATGTGACTGCATCTGGAGTTAAACATTTGGATTTTTTTAGTAACAAAATGGAAAAGCATGTGTATCTGAATATCTGAAGAAACAAATTTAGATTTTAAGTGGGCTTAAATCGGCTGTTAATAGCGGCCACTTCTATTTATAACAAGATAACGACCCAAAACACCCGTCTCATCTTGTACGTCCACGGAAATTAAAAATAGGTCCAGCAATCACTAGACGTTAATCCTATTCAAAATACCTTGAACTTTTTTGGAAAATCGTATTCGAAAACATCGATTTTCATGAAAATAAGGCCAAAAAGCTGAATCATGGGCTTAGTGAGTCAAATTATCCGGAAATAATACTAGAAATTGAGTGGGGAGTGTAGGGACAATAATAGCAACAAATTGTAGACAAAAACTGCTAAAACTATTGTAATTATATTTGATTTATATAAGTAATCATTGTTGTACGTAAACTTTTTTTATATAAATTAGGCGCATTTTCAGCTTTAGCACAAGTTCTTTTTATTTGTGTAAAAAAAAAATTTTTTTGATATGCTAAATTTAACGGTAAATATACCTCTATTGTAATGGATAGAAAAAAAACCACAAAATTTATTCATTTTATAACAAATAAACGTGCCGTAATTTAATAAATCTAGGTGTATGTAAACTTTGTTGGTCCACTGTATACATACCAATGATAGAATACACGATTACGACAAGGTTTTACCGTTACTGTTCGGGTCAGACTCCATTCAACAGCAGAGTCGCAATGTTGCGACACATAGTCGTCTCAAAAATTGAGGAACTGGGTTAGAATTAGTCACACATTTGCGAGACGCTGGCAAATCATATATATATATACCATTATGTGACGTACTTATAGCATGTGAAGAAGAAGCATCGAAAAGCTCTCAAGCAGTACAGGGTTTGTCCGGAAAGAAATATACTGAGTCGATTTAATAAAAATTTATTGAAATAATTTGCGCAGACTAGTCACATTGTCGGTGTTTGTCGCAGTCGTAGGTCTCTTATCACGGTGTTCATCAGCGACCTCAACCCTGCCCTCCAAAAAGGTGTGGCGCCACCGAAACACATCTCTTCTTGCTGAAGGAACATCTGGTTAAGCCTGCTTGATCATATAACTGCCGCAGATTTACCGAATTTCACACAGAATTCAATCATGTACCTTTGCTATTACGAGCGTTGCATTTTTGGCTTGCACCACTCACAGAAACACGCCACTCGAAAATGTTTGTCCTGATTCTCCAGGTGCTCGGAGACAACTGACCAGCCACTCGGAGACAACTGACTTAGCCAGGAGCGCTCTCTACTGAATCAAGTCGGTGCGGGCACACTCTGAAGTACAGTCGTGGCGGAAGAAAATCAGTCCTCTACCTTTTTGGACAAATCCTGCGTGTACTAAATTGTAAGTAATAACGTAAACACTTCTGTTGATTCATGAAGTAAACTTAATTTTCCAGTTTTTGGTGAAAAAATCTCCCTTTTAATCATTCACTTAATTAGCAATTATGTTGCCAATAGACAAATATATTCATTTAAAATTAACTAACGTATTTTCCCGTGGCATCATTAAAATAAAAGAGGAATAACCGCGTAATCTTCGGTTAAATCGTCCAGCTACTTCAGATCTTATGGTTGAGTAGAAATATCATAAAAATGGTATATGGGATATTGATCAGTAACAAACGAAATCACTGATCAAACTTTAGCAGATGTAATTTTTGTGGAAGTGAAAATTCTAACATTCTGGAAAATGAGTGATAAGATGGAAGTTGGGTATGTTAAGAAAATGAGGGTGGCTGATGAAAGCCGCTACCAAAAAAAAAAATTAAAAAAAATTGAAATTAAAAATTTTTTTTCTATTTACTGAATCTGGTAATTTTTTTTGTTTTTTTTTGCAGATTGACTTTTACATTTAACAAAAGTGGATAACTGGGACACTGAAACCAGAATTTGGATTGTCCGCCGCTATCACGCACTGAAGTCCGTAGTTTCGGCGGCAATCCTCCGAGCAGATGGACCATAATGAGACCTGTAAACAATTTTGCCGAGCATGGGATTGTCAACAGAAGAACTTACCATCGAAACCCTTCAGTTTGAACGGAGGAAACAATCGCTGCTGGAGCTGCTGCCATACAAAACAATCCACGTGTTTCGACAAGAAGCTTATCTGCTCAAATGGGTGTAAGCAGACAGTCATTACAGTCAATTATGCACAAAGATTTGAACTTATTCCCATATAAAATTCAAATGGCGAACAAAGTGAATGCTGCAGACTTGCCGACTCGTTTGGAATTTCGCCAGAAGATGCTTCAAATGGTGGAAGAGGATGGAAACATGTTGAACTGTCTTTTTATGTCTGACGAGGCCCATTTCGGTTTAAACGGCGACATAAACAAACAAAATTGTCGAATATGGAGTGCTTCCAACCCACAGATACTCCACGAGACGGAATTGCATCCACTTCGTGTCACAGTGTGGTGTGCAGTTTCATCACTCTGCATTGTCGGGCCCTACTTCTTCGAAGAAAACGGTCACACCATTACTTGAGCATGTTGAGAGAGTTTTCTATCCAGAATTACGCCGAATGAGAATTTCTTTCAACTCTGTGTGGTTTCAGCAAGATGGTGCAGCTCCTCGCATASCCCATCCTGTTATGACAGAATTGCGACGAAAATTTCCCAATAAGCTGATATCCAGAAACTCCACATTCCGTTGGCCACCCAGGTCGCCTGACCTTACTGCACCYGACTTTTTCTTGTGGGGTTATAGCAAACAGGAAGTCTRCAAAGCAAAACCAACAAATTTGAATGAACTAAAGCAATCCATTCGAGAAACAATTGCGGCTACTCCTGTCTCAACTCTCCAAGCAGTAATGAACAACTTTTTGGTAAGATGCCGCACACGCATCAACGAGCAACGGGCATTTAAATTCCATTATTTTTAAAACTAATTAAGCTATATTTAATAAAATTGAATGAGCTTTAACATGAATAAAAGAAAGATGATTTCCATGCACTGAAAAAAAAAAAATTATTTGAGTTTCTTAATTCATCAGCCACCCTGCATTTGATATTAATCTATAATTTACAACGAAGGAAAGGATTGCTCCCAAAACATCAATACATTTGGGAAGGCCTGTCTATAGTGGCGAAATAATATCAAAATGTCGTGGTGTTACGAATGGGAATTAAAACGCTGTTACAGATTTAATCCAATTTTCTTAAGCTCAGTGCATATTTTTTTGATAATTCGTTTAGATATACAGACCTTTTCATTTGCCTAAATCTGTTCGGGAATCAATGAAATATTACGCTCGATATTAAAATTTATTTTTTTAGAGTAATTATTTACAAAGAATAAATCGTAATATTTTATATATGATTGAAAGATCAGTGCTTTCTATAATATTCTCAATGATGTAACATGTGAAAAAATATTTTGTTTAACTACCTCCGCCACCTCCTGATAGCTCGTCTTCATACTGTTTACGGAAGCAATCGCCAACTGGGAAGAAGTCCCAACTCCTCTGTTGATACATATTCCATACATAAGTCTCCTGACCAGTGTATTCTGTATCCGGCTTATTGATTAGATGCATTAAGAAGAACATGTAATTTGCAAGATTATGCTCCTTTTGCACATGAGTATCAAAACCGTGAGGAACTATGTCAAAGAAATCTTTTCCCATGCCACATATAAAACAATTTGATTCCATATTTTCTTTAACTGATTCAAGTTGGTCACGTAACTCACCAAAAGCATCTATAATCAAACCTTGAATAATGGCTAGAAGTATAATAATAACGAAAAAGAAGAACGTGATGTCAAAAATAATACGATAAACTTCGTAGTCATCTCCGTCGGGATCTCCGATTTCATCACCGATTCCTCCTCCTGCTCGTACTCCTTTATATAAGTGGAATACAAAACAAGTCAGCATGTCATGACATTTTTTATCTACCTCTTCATCTTCTTCTTGTATGTAAAATTTGCGGAAAAAATTGAACGCAATTACTGTATAAATGTATACTACAATTGTTAGTAGCATTACAGTGAGAACAAGTTGTTTTCCGTTATGAGTGACCGATTGTAAAATGGTGCGAAGTGTTTTAAAACCTACGGCTACATCGAGTAAATGGGCTGCGAAGAAAAAGTTATTAAAGTTGCCCATTACTGAGAATGAGAAATACCACAGCGAGTAAAGGAAAGCGTTGTCGGTAAATGTAACTCCTGCTTTCCATACTTGATAACGCCAATCTATATTCATTATGTACTTCACCAATCCACCTTCCTCACTCTCCTGCGCCATGAAAGCGCTTTTTTCCATTCCAAGTAGATTCGAGATTGAATCAAAGTCATATGTTTCGCTGTACTTCTGTCTCACCTTCTTTTTCACAAACTTGTCCCAATAGTTAACGGGGAATGACTTAGCAGAAATCACTAATTTGTCCCAGTGTGATTTAAAATCGTCATCTTCCGGTTGGTCTGCAATGAAGAGACCATCAAATTCTAATCGGCGAGCTATCTCTTTCTCCCTCTTGAAAATGGCTAAAGGTACTTTTAAATGGTAGTAAGCAATCAGCATTGCTAGAGAGACTAAACTGTGTAAAAAAGCAGCTATGCGTATGACGTGAGCCATATAGAAGAAATCTTCGTCAACATGTACTAGTTCTGGTAAGTCTTCTTCGTCGCCTGCACCATCGCCGGAACCATCTCCTGAACCTCCAGCAAATCCGGATGCTGTTAGACTACCGCCAGATCCAGAACTAAGAATAAGTTCATCATCACCTGAAGCCTCTTCATCATCACCAAAAGATGTTACTTTATAGAAGAGTAACATAAAATTTATACTAAAAGCTAAAACCAATGCAACATATTTAAGGTTATAGAAATTACGTGCGAGAAAACTAACGGCACGATGTGCGTACTGAGCAAAGTCAATTTGATTAACCGCTGGTGTTTCTTGAGCAGTTGCTGATGACTTTTTCTTAGCTTCGGCTTCAATTGAAGCCATAGCCGCTTCTTGGGCCTTTTGTGCTTCTTGCCGTTCTTGCGCTGCTTTTTTAGCAGCTTCTCCTCCTAGTAAATCAACGATTGATATTGGTTCTTGAAATTGATAGGTTTCATTCTCAACCGCTTGATCAGCAGCTGTTCCTCCCTCTTCTAGACTTGATTCACCCGTTTCTTCTAATGAAGAGTTGCCACTACCACCGGGTGATTCACGAACTGTTACTTTGAACTGACCATTTTCCTCTTTGTTTAATTCAAACCCAAACGCTTGCACTGGTCCCGGTGGTTCCTCAATAGGTAATGCTGGCAACATCTTACCAAATGTTTCCTCCTTCATTGGTGGAGCTTCAATTTCTTCCGGTGCTGGGCCACGCATTAGATTCATTAGAATTCCTAAAAGGTAACGAACTACACAGAAATTTCCGTAGCCAGTATAATAAAAGATATAAAATATCATTTTGAAGAATCCAATAATAAGTTCTGGCAACGACTTGGTTTGCATTACCCCAATTTGATGTTTTATATTTGATGGGCTTAGGATATGCACTATGAACTTAAGACCGTCTTTGATAGCTTGCATGGTACGTCGTATAGGATCCCGTGCGGCACGTTCTTCCTCTTCTTCGCTCATATAGGAACTGTAGGCAGTATCCCGTTTAACATTACCACCACCATCGTCAGTTGCCATTAAGCCTGAGGCGTGTGTCATTTCAAAAATAGCATCTTCACAGAAATTAACGAAAGCTTCTAATTTTTCCTTGTCTCCACCTTCAGTGACAATTGAATAGAAGAATGCCCTCTTGGACTCTTTAATTTGTGGCTTTTCCCATTGTTCAATATTTGAGTCTTTTATTTCAAAATATACGCGCTCGATACGCTTGGAGCTGCCCAAAATCTCAATACGGCCAAGGAAGGGTTCAAAGTAATTCAACACCGATCCAGCTGTCTCTAAGAATCGGGCTAAACGAGGCTCATTCGGCATATGTTCGCTCAGATTCGTTAACAATACGGCTAAATTAAAACCGATCTCTTTTGATGGCTCATGAAAACGATCAACGAAATCGCCATAGTCAATTTTGCCTTCGTGGTTACGTTCACAGCATGCCAAAAGAAAGTCCATTTCATCTCTGTTTACAATTATAAAACAAAAAAGATTAGAATAAAAATGTAAAAAAATGTAAAGTTTAACAATTTAAATTTCACTAACGGTGTGTAATTCTTAGATTGCTCCATTTTATCCCTAAAGTCTTTTGGAGTCACCCAGCCCTCATTTTTAATATCAATTTCCGCAAAGCTTGGAGATTCAATCAAATCTTTCAATTTTAAAAACATATCGAAATATTTTAGAATTAATTCTACGTTGCCAGCCGACTCGACCAGTGTGTCCACCATTTGCTTTCCGATTGTACCTGTAATAAATCGAATATTTTATCTTTACTATTTTCATTTAATGTAAATTATAATCCACAGTTTTATTATATTTTTATATACACTAAAAACTGTGGATTATAATTTACATTAAATGAAAATAGTAAAGATAAAATATAAGAACATGCATGCAATCGAATATATGAACATAAACTTCTATATAAGAGGTAAAAAGGAGGAAAATGATTCCTCCGTGGACGTTATTAAACTTTAAATGAACATACCATTAACAACGTTTCCTTCGAGCATAGAAAGCATCATTGTAATCATGTCTTTCTGCAAATTAAGTAGCTCTTTCAATAAGTCCACTTGGCTAGAATGCTTTGACAACTTTTCTTGCATATGCGAGAAAAGAAAGAGGAAACCCCCAACTGCGTCCCATAAACGAGAATGCGCTAAAGCTTGTTGATTTAATGTACATGGACCTTGAATGACCTCAGTCAATGTGTTAAATACTTGACTTGCCACACCAATTGCTTTGAAGAAGTTAGCCTTTCCTGCTGGATCTATGATCTCCTTACTAGAGTAGTGCCAATAAAAGTCCATTATGGATTCTTGTAGACGTAGTAAGTAATCAACAGTACATATCACCACGTTGACTGTAGTTGTGTTGCCCGCCTGCGTACGCAAATAGTTTTGCCAATCTGTCAAAATATGTAATTTTTAAAATACAAATAACTTCTCTTTCTCCGGATATACTTACCTAGGTTGTGCCCTTCGCAAGTCAATTGAATGAATCGAAACAATGCACAAGTAAACTCAGCATCATGCATGTTTTTCTCGCCAGCAGCTCCTTCCGAACCTACACCAAGACCTGCACCCGCACTTGGAATGTACTCTTTGTTGCAAAAATTTTTGATTGTGTATTTAGGTTGGGGACGTAGGGACATGCGAGGTAATTATTTTTTTTGTACGCCAAATCATAAACCAGGGCCAGGACGAAGGTGTAATTGGATAAATATATAACAGATGCGCGTGTTGTGTTCAAATTATACCCGAACAATAAAGCGAATACATAATATGCGCAAATACAATTGATATAAAATAAAATATTATAACACCAAATGAAAAAGGAAATGTACTGCAATATACATATAACGATATGACGAAAAGATAGAATAAGTAAGTAGTTTGCCACTCACAATGCATAATAATTTTAAGATTTCTGAAAACAAGTAAATTATTAACCACTTGTAAATTGCACTCCTAAAGTCACGGTGGAGAAAATTCTAACAACAAGTAAAATAATTGAAAAGTGTAGCATCTTATGAGCAAAAATTACTAATGTGATATATTTTGCAACCTTGCTCAATATCTAATTTTATCTGAATATTATAACATATAATTTAAAATATTTTATTCACATAATAAATGAAAATTAATAAATATCTCAGGCAGAAGCGGCGACTGACCCGAGCTAGCACCGATAATAGGAAGTAAACTTAGCAGAAAAAAAGAGATTGATAAAAAGAAATTATGCAAAATATGTATGTTTGCACATCCTTGTAAAATTTAAATTAAGACACGAAGGAATTGGAAAGGTGTATGTAGGAAAGAGGTTCTTTGTAAGACAAAAATTTTACACTTAATTCTGTTTTTACACGTTAGATTGGTTCCAGAAAAAGTGCGTAAAAAGAGCATTCAATGCTCTCTTAAATTTTGAATTTTTACAATTGCTCTGACAAATAAACATTGCCTCTATTTCTCTAAATTAGTGATATGAACATATTTCGCAAAAGTTAAATCTGACAAATAATATGTAAGCTAAAACTGGAATAAAATTGTTTAAAAAACATAAAAAATAATTATTTTCAAACCGTGTTAAGTTAAAATCGTAAATCGTGTTAAAACAGAATTAGATGTATTTTCATATAATTTATGACAAATTATTTTATACAATTGTAATGTAATATTTTATTTAACAATTAATATCCAAAGAATTTAAACAATAAGTTATATTCAAAGTAAAGTAATTTGCGTAAACTAGTGCTACTTCTACTTATGTTATTATTTTGAACTTTCAACTTTAATAAAGGCATTTAAGATCGTTAGCACTCTATTAATAAATGTTTCTAATAATTTTCCATTGAAAATTAATAATATGAAGCATTACAAAATTCTTGTTGAACAATTTTGTAATGTGATGCTTCTTATTATTAATTTTCATTTAAATTTCACTTTTTTTTTATAATTTTTATTGTTTTACATTTGTTATTAATGGTTTTCAACGAGGCAGCATATCCTTCCATTTACATATTTTTTGGTAAGATTTCCATCTTTCATTTCCAATTTCTAAACGTCAAAACCTCTTGAACAGTTCATGGAGTTCAGGACGTTTTCCGATTAGCAATTGCTTTTTCACTTTTAATGAGCGATATGTTGAGCATATCTCTGACACGAAGTAGCGTGCCGAATACAAACGCAAAATTGTAATGTTGCCGTTGGGCATAGCTGATTTAAATACATTTGTGATCACACAAAGCTTACCACTACACTTTCTTAAACTTTTTTTCGGACTTTTTAGTTTGCTCGGCATGTTCTTCAATTTTTTTTTTATTTTTTAATAAACATAGGTATATTAAATTATATTGTCTAATTATAATTATAGTTTTTAATTTATTACGTTTAATGAGTAAAACACGTATTAGCTTTTATGTGCTTATACAAAAACCGCCGATTTAATTTTTTTTAATTAAAGATTTTGTTTATAGTTAACAGTGTTTTTTTTTTTAATTTGATAAATAACATGTCATTAACTTATTTCTAAAAAAAAATATTTGATATCGCAAAAAGTACCGTTATAATTTGTTAAATACTTTAAAATTTTTAATGGTAAGTTTTACGTGGCCACAAGTGTAGGTATTGTGGCGAACTCGAATGCTAGAGCAAAATCGAATCGACGACAAATTGCAAGAATTAACTAGGCAGCGATTCATAGTTACCAAATTGATCAAGTGGCGATGTTTTGGTAACAATCTACTGTATGAGGGCTGTCGGATTGTGTAAATAGCTTTAGTTTTTTTTGAATAAGAAATATAGATAAGTGTATTATTATTATATTGGGACTTTTATTTATCGAGAAATCCGTTAGAATTGGCAAAGTTTGTCAATTTTAATGTTCCACAGCTTATAAATGAGATGTACCAACGCAGTTTGGCGACAATTGGAGTGAAATCCGAATTACAGTCACGGTTACAAGATGACTTCCAGAAAACGTCGATGTCAGGGATTAATTTCTTCAATTAGATTAGAGGAATATATTATTAAAAAACGCTCAAGATTTATCAAGTGTTTGTTGCTGCAATATCAACGCAAATGTCACAGATGTCATCAAAAATGTTGGTACGACAATCCCAAATGTTCTCGCAGTTACAAACGAGGTAGTCAGTGCATTACGCTGCACAATTCGGAGCGCAGATTTATCAGCACAAGTGTACTCAAATTTGAGAGAACACAATGCACTGATATCGCAAGTGATCTCACAAATTGCAGAGATGTCCTCACAGATTGCGGAAAAGCGGGATAAAATTAAAAATCAATTGGATGAATTGAAAGGTCGTCTCCGGGAGCTATAATAAAATCGGGCAACTATATTAGCAGTCTCCGCCAAGGTAAAACATTCATCCCTAGATGGCACAGTTCCGTTTTAAGCTTCAATTCGAAAAAACGGCATCTGCAAATAATTGGAACAGTGAAAATAAAGTAGCTGCAGTGCGTTAAAACTATATGCAGCGGAAATATTACAAACTATTTCAAATTGTGACTCAAGGACTTATGAGTCGTTGATGATTGAGAATAAGAAAGTAGAAAAATAGTGGTGTGGTTGAATGCTTCAACTGCGGGAAAGTTGGCATATTGCACGTAACTGTAACGAGATCAATAATTCAGTTGAACGTAAACGCATAGCTGAGGAAGATCAAGCAAATGTCTAATCCAAACAATAGTTATACTAAAGCGAGACTGACGAAATGGTTAAAAGCGTATTTTGAGTGTGGACACGGGCACGTCATATTCCATAATTCGAGCTAGTCTGGTTAATAAAGATGTAAAACAATTAGCTGAGGCAAAGTGGAGTACTGTAACTGGAGAAGATACTCAAGTCCTAGGAGTCAAGTGCGAGATCGTAATTGGAAAGGCAGTGTTACTCACTTTTATAGTGGCAGGTATAGTCAACGAAGTTATAATTGGAGTAGACATTCTAGCAAATCAAGAAATCGAAAACGACATGGGGAAGAGGATTATGAATATGGAATTTGGCATGAGGTTCTGGTAGAAAGTTGAATGATGTAACGAAGAAAAACAGTTATCTACTACCTAGAATCGATGGCACCCTGGACTCGCCAACAGGCTTTGTGATTCTCAATACTTGAATGAAAAGTGGTTATTTTCAAGTGGACGTAAACAAAGAAGACAAAGAAAATACGACTTTCAGCGTTGGATATGGTCTATGGTAATTTACCGGAGTGCCGTTTGAATTATGTAGTGCTCCTGCTAGGTTTGAGATACCTGTGGACCACGAATTAAAAGGATTGCACTCGCAGACCTATTTGGTATACCTGGACGATATCATCGTGATGGGTAAAAGCATAAAAAGATATATGATAAAAGATTGTCCTAAAAATTTACATAACTTGCGTCCCTAGCAGTGTAATTGACCTCAAGAAAAATAGCAGAGTCTTAGAGTGTAATAAAGAAGAAAGGAAGTGGCTTTCCAAATTCTGAAGAATAGTTAAAGTGCGGCGACAATGTTAGCATACTCGGCCCTAGGATCAGTATTTATTTTGGATTGGGATGATAGTTATTGACGGGCTTAAGAAATTATTGTATAACTCAGAAGGAATTACTGGCATAGGTGAAGTTCATTAAAGATAATCATATCGTCACCTAAAATGCAAAACAACGTATAATTAAAAAATTGAGTTTTGATTGATTACGACACTATTTCAAATTACCCAAATTTAAATTTGGTTCCACTCATGTTTCATTTTATATCCTGTTTCATTCATTCCCCAGTAAATTTCCGAAGAAGTTGTTGCGTTATTTTGCATTTTAGATGTCGATATGTATCTTTATGGTCAGTGGTACCAAGTTAGGACAGATTATCCAGCTTTAAAATGGCTACTAAAATTCATCAACCCAGCAGGCACGAAAGATTGAGAGACTCCAAAGTTACAATTTCTGTATAGAAATCGAAAAGGAAGTAGTAATGGAAATGCGGATGCGATGTCCCGCCGTCCCTGTAATTTAAAAACCAAACATTGCGCAAAAGTTGAGACCAGAAAGGACAGAGAGATATTTGGGTAAAGACACTAACTTCAGACTGGGTTCTAGAGGAATTACGAAAATTACAAGAAAAGATGCAGATTTGAAATGTATAATACATGAAGAAACGTCGAACAAATGGAGGTATTAATCAACAATTGGGTATAGAGATATGATGTTCCAATAGAATTACATTCTGACCGAGGGAGGAGTTTTGAATTTGCTCTAATTCAGGAGATGTGCCCATATATCTTTGTTCCTGATGATTTATCGGTCTAACGACATCCAGGAAGACGAGATAAGGGAAATTCATGCTATGATAAGACAGCGCACAAAAATTATGAGTGATAAAAAAAAGTAAAATACGACAAGGCAATGAACATTGAGGGATTAGAGGAAATTTGGTATTGATATATGTATAACCCACAACGAAAGAGCAATGTTTCTAAAATTAAAGTGTATCAAATGCTTCGTCGGATAAAAGCCTGCCCAAAGATTGGAATTTAAGTGGCAAAGAATATCCATAATCCGCGCCAACTACAGTGGGATAAGCTTCTCTACATCGCATATAAGGTTCTATCAAGCGTATTATATGAGAGATTAAAGCCCTCCGTCAACAAACTAACTAGGCCTTATTAGAGTGGAATCAACAACTGTCCAGATATTCACCAAGCTCCAAATCTGGGAAAAGACCAGTGAAAACGGGATAGACACAACACCTGTTCGTCGTATTCAAAGCTGTTTTTCACAGCACGAACTGCATTTATGCCGGTATGTCTGAACTTAGTATCCCGCAAAACAAATACGGCTATGCAAATTGGCGTACAGCAATACCATAATCTCCGTCAGGATCGGGAAGGACCTCTCCGGGCGATACCGAAGGAGGTTTCAGACAAGGCGACTCCCTATTGTGCGCCTTATTCAATTTACATCTAGAGAAAGTAATTCGAATTCAGAAGGCACAATCGTTTATAAGAGTGCATCGCTACTGGAGTACGCCGATGATATTGATATCATTGGCCTCAATAACCGCGCCGTTAATTCTACTTCTCCATACTGAATAAGGAAGCGAAGCAAATGGGTCTGATGGTGAACGAAGGCAAGACGAAATATCCCTTGTCATCAAATAAACAGTTGCCGCACTTCGAAGTCGTAGATAATTTCGTGTGTCTTGGAACCAGTATTAACACCAACAGCAATGTCAGCGTCGATACTCATAATTCCCGTCCCGCTATATGGTGCAGAGGCTTGGACGATGACAGCAACTGATGAGTCGACGTTACGGGTTTGTGGGAGAAAGGTTCTGCATAAAATTAATGATCCTTTGCGGATCGGCAACGACGAATATCGCATTCATTGGAACGAAGAGCTGTACGAGATATACGACGACATTGACATACATAGTTCATCGAATTAAGAGACAAAGAAAATGGTTTCAATCTATTGATAAATTATTTCAATTTTAAAATGTTTTAGACGCAAGTTGACAAATTCATTGCAATTCCGTACATTTATTTTTTGCTTTAACTATTAAAGTGAAATTTAACTCATTTATTTGAATTAAGTTTTAGTGATTTTAAACTTAAATTTTATGTAAAAAAGTTTACTAAGAAAATCTTTGTATACACATAACCTATACCCTCTGCTATGTAAATTTCCAATTTTCTGAAGATTGACAAGATTGATTGGCTTTTTTACTACTGCAAGATATTAAAGTAATATCGAGGAAATACGTGAGGACTATGGATTTAGTTATCATAAACAGGGTTTTTTAGAATCATTGCAAAATTAATAGTTGAGCCAAAAAGTTATTTTGTTATCTTAATGCAAAATATGGAATTTTCTAATTACATTTTATTATATAACTAATTTGAGCAATATAATAATATATAAAAATATAAATAGTTTTAATGTACATACCTTCTGCCTTTGTATTGCGTTCAAATGCATCCAAATCTAATACACTACAAGAATTCATAAGACCTGCAATTGATGTAAAGAAGCCCACATCTTTTTTCTCCTTCAGATGATTCAACATTCCCATCTGAATGTCTATATTACCACCACGGAGTATTGCTATACCCAAATTTAATGTTGTCATAACCATTTCAGAGGGCACACCTTTTGAAGCGGATATATGAAGCAGCACCATTTCCGCAACGCCACGATTTGAGAGCCGCGCTTGATGGAAGAGAAGTTTCTGTTTTTCCATTTCTTGTTCCTGAAATTTAATCAATTTGTATTATACTCTTAATTAAATGATAAAGATATACTAAATGTATCCCAAAAGTTCTTACATAAGTATGGCTTATTACCGCTAGTTTATGTATTGTGCACTTTAGTTAGAAGCATGTCAAAGTTAAAATGGTTGTTAGTCAGTAATATGTATGTGCACATATGAAGTTAATAATGAACAAATGTAGTAATATGCTGACTTACATGTATGCTTGCTCCTTCCTCATTGCCCTCTCCTCCACCCTCTTCATCACCCCCCTCTTCTTCTTCCTCTCCACAGGACTTTGCAGCGATTTGTGCGTATGACATATATAGTAAATCTTCTTGCAAAGCTCCGCTTCGTTCGGTCATCGCTCCACGGCAGAAAGTAGTAACTAGCTGCGTAAGTGGATCTGGCTTACCTTCAGACTCTTCTTCTTCCTTCTTGGATTTCTCGGATTCCTCAAACGTTTGAGTCAAGTCTTCAATCATTATCTCTTGACCTACGTTTTCTTCTTGAAGCCATTGCTCATAGTATGATCTGGCAAAAATGTTGCAAGCTCGATGTCTAATATGAGTGTAGATTTAAAAGTTTGAGTAATTTATTTTGACTAGAACGTATATTTTGTAAACTGCAGAATAGCCACACGTTTTGTTTTCTGCTAACTGTCGAAGTGATATAATTAACTCACTTTATAAAAATGTAATCAAATACGCACCGTTTGTTTCAATTTAGGTGAAAAAACCTATGGCGATTCTCTAGTTTACCTTGAGATAAAGAATACCATGCGTTTAATTAGTTATGTTAGTGGTTTGAAGGAACACAAAACTAAATTTATTTTCAGTGAGTTTCAAATGCATGTGTATGCAGAAATATTTGCATGAAAATTTGGTACATATAGATGTGTGAAAACTTAATACTTTCTGTGAAAGTAATTTTTTTCAATAATGCCAATTATATTGGGGAATATTAACAAGAGGAGAAAGTGTACCTGCTCATGCGATAAAGATGTTTAGCGCGTAAGCTGGATATGACTGCCTGGCGTCGGGCCAATGTAATTTTCGAATTCCAACGTTTGCTTCTTGGCTTAGGACGTGATGCCTAGGAAGGAATTAAGGATACAATACCCGGTATCAGCTAGTTAAAGCTTTGCAAAGAATACGTCATACATACACACTTTTGAGGTTAGTACGGAAAATATTAGTAAAAACAAAAAATTTTATTGAATATGGAAGACATGGATTTTTGACTTAACTATACAAATAAACTGATAGTAATGTAAGTAATTTTTCGCATTTAAAGACATAAAGTCAACAACTCTACATTTTTCATCTACGTTCAATGTGACTGTTAGTGTATTGAGCAAGCGGAAATTGTTCTCATTTGTTAAAAACCTGGGTAGAGAATGTAGAGATGTCTGACGGAAACATGCAATAACGGCACGTTTCCTTTGTATGGATACAACACTCCTGTAGACGTTCTTGCTTTGTTGTTGGGGATGATCAATCTGTATATATGACGAGTTTCACCATCACCGGTGTTTCAATAAATTTGAGTAATGCCATATCAGAGCAAATAAATTTTACATGTGTAGTTGATGTCGTTTCGCGAAAGTGTTAAAAAGTAATAAAAAATAAATTATAATAATGATATTAAAAAAGTGTAAAAATTTTTAAAGAGAAATAATTATTTTTTACTCGTTTAAAATTCAGTAAAATTTTATACCGTTTTGTTTACTACTTATTTGAAACATATTTTCCTTACCATATGTAAACCGAACAGAACTTTAGCCATGGCTACTATACGGTCAACAGTTTCTTGCGTCTTGTCTTTGCCTTTATCATTTTGATTTGAAGGTTTTTCCAATGCCTGTTCATCTGCGAGTTCCTCCCTTTTTCCCAACTTTGAATACAAATAGTGCTGCCAAGACATTTCATCAGAAGGATCTAATTTGTCAGGAAGTGTCAACTGATTTCGAGCAAATTCTATAACATCATATTCTTGCATTTTTTTTAAGTAGCGATCTTTACAATGCTGTACAAGCTCCTGTTCTCTCCCAGCAAACAAATTTAAGCCAACTGGAAGCAAACGCTTCAGACAAGCCACCATTAGACTAGCTTGTACTTCTTTATCTTTGTCTCTCTTTTTATCTCTGTTCTTTTTCTTCTTTTTAACTTTACCACCTGTTACGGGTGCCCCTTCAGTAATTGCTGATCGTCTGGTAGCCGTAGGCATAATAAGCGCCATATTGTCAATTTCATTGGTCGAAATGAAGTTTTGCTCTTCCTTAAGAAAGTATTGACTCTTTGACCATATGTTAAATATTTCAGCTACATGATTATATAAATCTTCCGCTTCGGGGATATTGTCTTTAAGCCAGTGATTACGTTGCAAATCAACATATTTAATTAAAAGTGGATAAAACGAATAAATGTCCCGAACAAGAAGTTGCCAGTCTTCTTGTAACTGAGTTTCCACTTGAGAAGTGTCATCAGTGGCCGATTTAATAAAACCACGCATACTCTCTTCTTTGTGAAACATATTTTCTGTCCGCTTTTTCACACGCTCGGCGAGTGGCAAAAACGGATCCTTTAGCAACTCTTCAGAAGTGTTAATAATTATTTGTTGTGTGTATGCAGCGATTCTCGTCATCCAAGGAGCATTATCATTCCCAATATTCTTTTTAATCATTTTTAAAACGTTACGAAGAAGTGAGTTCATATGATCTGCTGTTACCATGGTGACGTGATTGCCACTGGTGGGGCTAACATTATCCGGACCCTGTGCCCACCAAAACGGAAGATAGGAGCAAAGTAAAGGTAAAATAACGTCTATTATATGCGGCGCATCGTTATATGTTTTTTCTGATTCAACAAAGAAATCGACTTCTCCCAGAATTGTTTCTAAGTTTGGCATGCAGCTTTCCATACGAACCATAATATCTTGAGCTTCTAATGAGTGGTCTGCAATGCGATTAAGTAGTGAATATTGATTGTGCTTATTAAGATGTGGTTCTAAGAAAGCGACTGGGAAACAAGAACTGAATGCGCCCAAGCACGAGCCTAGTGCGGGCCGATGCCGCTCTATTTCGGTTCTTAAATATTTTCGATCATGTGTGAGCGTTCCATCAGTTCCTAGGTGATACAATGCCGCTAATATTTTGTACGAAGCTACTTGTATTTCGTCTAATAGAAGATCACTACCATAATCGCAAGCAGCTAAATGGTCGAACATCGCAGTTAATGCAGGTAGTACTACTTGATTTACATAGCTCAATGAAGTAGATGTTTTTAAATGTGTGCCTCGAAGATGACTATACTTGCCCTCTTGTAAATTAAGAATCGTATTACCCAGATCATCAGCAGTTTGATTAAAAAATGTTAGCATTGATGTTCTTATAAACTCTGGACAATTTTTAACTAGTGTTTTAGCATCTATGCCCTTTACTAATACTTGAAGACACCGTACTGTGATTCGCACATCTGGTCCAAAGGCACTAAGACGATTACGAAGAAGTGATGCTAATTTACAAAATATAGATGCTACCATTTCTTTTTCCTTCAGAGAAGCTGCGCCTGTGATGTTTGTTGCCGTTGCCATTGCAACAAAATAGTTACGATGTGTAGAAAAATATTTTTCCATTAATGGAAGTACAACTTTTGAGAAAAATTTTATGTCACGCGAAGCCGTTTTGAATGATGAGCGTCGGCTAAATGTGGTCGATGGCTTAAGCAGCTTCATATTAATAGTAGCCCGATCCAAATATTGAATTAATTTTTCTAATAGAGAATATGAAAATCGAAGTTCCACTGCTGCTTGTGTGGCTCCTCCTTCTCCTTCTGTAACTCCTCCTTTAGATGGCCTACATTGAAATGTTTAGATAAAAAAAAATAATATTTGTTCTTTGCAATGAAATTAGTTTTTAATCATTCATTATTAAAATGTTAATTGAATATATGTTAATACATACATATAGTATGTATATGCTCATTTCATCGTTGTAAACGAAATTACTGCTTATATATAATAAACAAATAAGTAATAAATTATAAATACTATAATAATAAATTTACTATATATATATATATATATATATATATGCCTAAAAGATAGACTTGTTGAAGTAGAATTCCTATCGAATAATATCACATTGTCAACATATTATTAATTACTCACTTGTGTAATTTGTAGCCTTGATATTGCATATACTTCAAAAATTCTTGTGATCGTTCACGATCTTTCCGTTTTTCTTTATCTGTTAATAAGTCATAAGGAACAAGTTGAGGATGTATAACACCACCGCATGAGTTAAGCTCTTCTTTCTTTTTCTTTGCCCATATGTCATGAGAATTCTCAGCCAAACGTTCTGCCATATTTTGCATTTCTCTACTTAGTGTTAGATTTGTCATATCTACCGGATGTGGGTTATAGTTGAACGGACTGCTTTCACTCTGAAAATCGTTCTGCTTTTAAGAAGATAGCCATAATGGAAAAACGAGGAGTTGTTGAATTTGGGTGGAGTTTCGTACCAATTGTAAGAAATTTGTATGAAAGAGTATGTCATTGTTAAGTGATAAGTAAGTAAGGACAGTTTAAAGTTATGTAAAAGGAAATATACATACGATTTGCGGTTTGGATTGACGACGAGTTGATCCACGATGATTGAGAGGAACATCAATATCTGACTGTTCAATACGCCAACCAATAGAAACTAGGGCTTTCAGACATTCTCTCACGGGATCTCGATAACGTTCACGTTCCTTTTAATATAGAAGTATAAATAAAAAAATAAGAAAAAACGTTAACTTCGGCGGCACCGCAGCTATATTGCCCATCATAGGTGCTTTTTAAATAGCAAAAACTCTTTGAATTGATTTTGATCGACAAGTTTGAATGGCACCAATATACAACAGTGGTCTGATCTGAACAATATATAAGAAGATACATTGCACAATAAAAGTACTCAACAAATCTCAACGAAAATTTGTGACTGATGGCTAGAGGTCTTTGGGGTATTTGAGGTGTCCTGATTACGAACTTGAGTTTGATTTTTCCATCACGTACAGCTATTTTGTCATCATTTTATCCTACATCTTACGAAATTTTTACTATCATTTTCGGTTTTAGCAATCCAAAATTAGAAAGATATAGTCTTTAACAGTTGCAAAATTACTGTAAACTTTTATAATCTCAATTAACAAGTTTTCATACAAGGGCTTGAACTTGATCAGTTAGTTTGTATAACAGCTATTAGCTGTTGCATTAGATAACAATTGATGTCAAAGTTCGAGTATATATCGTCAAAAAAAAGTGGCTACTATATGGCAAAGTGGTTTGGTTTCGGCGGTTCCATTAAATGTGCAGCGCCGAGGTGGAAAATGACGTGTGCAAAATTTCAGATCAATATCTCAAAAATTAAGAGACTAGTGCGCGTGTATACGTTCATCATGCTGATCATTTATATATATTTTATAAGGTATCCGATGTTTCCTTCCGAGTTACATAAAATTCGTAGTAAACTTTATATAAAGTTCTGTTCCTATTCAGAGTTTAATAAAAATAGGACAGTATATTGAAAATTTATAATTTATGAAGATTTAAATATAAAATTAATAACTGTTAAGTGATTTTGGAAAAATATTGACATTGAATTTAATAATATTCATATGAAAACTTAAATAGGAAAGTTATTTTATTAAGTACAAACTGTTAGAACATATGTATAATTTTATTCAATAAATTTATTTTTGTGAATGTTTTTTTCTATGGTTTGGAGTTTCTCGAAATGACAAACATTTTTTAGAAATTAAAATGAAAAAACAAAAGATAGTAATAAAGTCTAGCTTTGACTTACGAAATGTATGCATATTAGTTAGTATAAAAATGTACATACGTAATCACTTAACATGCTGTAAGGCTTCAGGCGAGGATGTTTTCGATCATTATCGGAACGTATCTCGCCATAGGACCATCCACTTTCTAAACGTCGACTTGCCCAGGCATCATGGTAATGTTCACTAAATTTCTGAACCAGTGCTTCGAGATCATTGTTTAATTGTACTTTTTCTGTATCAATAGGTTGGGGATCATATTGTGGCTGATCCGGAGCTCCCGATTGTCGACCATAATAGTCTTCATCAGTATTTTTCGATAAACTGTAATCAGGCGGCAATGCACATCCAATAGCAATTAAACAAGGTAATGCTTTTCCAAATAACTCCGGGTCATAATCCATATTACTAAGAGAATCAAAAATATTAGAAAATAGAAGCATCGTCAATCGTTTTTCTTCATCAGACGATGCCCCATATGACCCTTGACCTTGAGATGAACCGTAATATTTTGCACAACGATCGAAGTGAAGAGTGAGTAGCTAAAAGTATTATTTGGAGTAAAATACAGTTGTTGTTTTAAAGTGTTCCTTGCATTTTGCAAATAGTTGGGCACTTATAGCTTTTTCAGTGAATTCTTATAAAATTTAAATTCATTGAATATATTTAGTTTAAATCGTGGGTAAAAAATTCATTCACTATACTAAATTCAGTAGTTTCTATTCAAGTCCAGAACTGTGCCTAGCTTTTTGCAAAAATTGGTAACATATAATATCTATTAAAGGACAACGTACTCTTAAAGCCACGGTAGTATATTCAGATAATTTGGATACATCCACAGTCAACTTGCGCAATAGTTTCAGTAACATGGCAGGTTGCATCTGGGATGTAAGTGCCACCAAGAAATCAGATACAGCTTCTCTCTGGCCCTTTGTTAGCATGCGATTCTTTGATAGTCGATACACAGTGTGCAATGTTGCATCCAAAAGACTAGCATAATTTTCGGCCTCATTGTAAAATTTCGAATGTTTTATAAGTAATGGTAGTATTGAATTACCAATGTAACGATTCATCGAAAGGGCCATGTCACTTTCCGAACCATCACTTTTATCAAGAATAGTGGCTGTTCGTAAATCAGGTAAAAATGCATCTTCCAATAATCGGTAGAATAAATCTTGTGTTTCTATACCATATACTCGTTCTAAAAATAGAACAATGCTTTGTTTATTGTTTGGTAGAAGTCCGGACGGCATATCTGATTTTGGTCTCTCTTCTCCTGGTGGTGTTTGTGTCAATGTGAATTTTAAACTGAGAACGCCTTGAAGATCTTCCAGTGGGACCAATGATCTCAAAATAGCTCTAGCTCTAAGCGATTCATTTTTTCCTTGTTCAATGACGGAGGCATCTGGAGCACATCTTCCAAGAAGATCAACAAGCGTACAATAAAAATTAAGAATCGCTGCACCAGTATCTATATAGTCTTCATCTTCATCTCCCTCAGGCAATGGATGTGTGAAATTTAAACCAGCAATTGTTCCTTCGGCCTCATTTTGCATGTTACATCTATCAGAAATACGCTCCGACATGCGGTTAGCTTCCACTATTGCTCGGAATAAGCCTTCCCCTTCTCCTCTTAGAGCCGGTCCTAAACATTCTGGACGGCGGATAAGAAGACGAATGACAAGGTTTGCGTTCTCTTCGACGCTTTCCCCGTTTACCCATACACAATATCTTAGGAAATCTAAGTAACGTTCTCCTTCCACTGGATCCCATCCCAAATCTGGATAGCCTTTTTCAACTAATTCTGAATTGCTTTGCAGTCCGCATCGCGACAAATAAACAGCAATTTTTTCTAAATAATGTTCTCTTAGTGCTAGAGCCAATTCTGTATTTTCCATCAAGCTTGAATATGCTACATCTAATGGGGTTGAACCACGTAAGCTGGGCCTTGCCAGTAGGATATTTGCGTTGTCTAATAAGAAGTCAAAATGGTCAAACATGGCTTTCTGATTTTGACGACCTGTACGACAAAAGTAACAAAGGAAGCGGCAGCATCCAACCACCATTTCATGAGATGTGTCTTTTTCTTTTGGGGGTGCGCCTTCTACCCCTTCCGTTTGGGGGGGAGCATCACTTTGTGCTTGCGCCCGTCTTCCTAATGTATTCATCATAACTGCCATTACGTTCTCATGAATTCTAAGTATTCGTATAAGATCAGGGTGTTGGAAGAATGTAGCGTTATTGACCAATTTCCAAAGACGTTTTCTCATAAGCTCCTCCTCTTCTTGACTCATTTGTACCGGAAGTAAAGCGCGAATTTGACTTAAGCCAACCCACATTTCAGCTACGTCCTCTCTAGCTCTGTTATTAATAACGTAGGTTTTACCCAGAGCTCGAACCAATTCACCCACAGTATCATATTGGCGAACTAATAAACTGAACATTTCACGTACAAGCTTCGGGTTTTCTATTTGCGATTCTTCAGCCCAACTGACAATAGTTTTTATTAATACTTTTCGAAAAACTTCTTCTGGAGTTTTCTTCTCCGGTTCCTCAATTTCTTTAGGTCCTTCTTCTAGTTCTTTAACAGCATTTATGAAATTATAAATTTTTGTAATTGGTCCCGTTTTCACTTCTTCAATTGCATTACAATCCACTTCATCGGGTTCTTGCAGAGCATTAAGAGATACCTTTTTCATAAGGCTATCATGAAAATCATACAATCTACTTCTTAAATCTAAGCCACATGTACAATTTTCTTGATCATCAGACTCAAGATTTTTAAAGCACAGTATTTGATTCATCTGCTCTCTAGGGGGACAACGAAACTCTTTAGTTTTTTTGGCAGCCACAGCACTTGGAAGATCCGACTGCTTTATTTCAATGTATCGCCGAAGCTGATCGCCTTGCAAATCACCAACAAAATCATGAGAAAATGATATGATACTTTCAACCCTATGCCGCAGTTGTATGTCATAAAGGTGGTGAAGGAGGTAACACATTTGAAGCTTAGCTCCTTCGGCCATTTTCATCGTCAATAGGCCTTTCCGATGTTCATCTTTGCCGTCTGTAAAATAGGGGTGTTATTTAAATATAAAAACAGTTACAAGTTTCTCAAACCTTTTTCGAATGTGATATCCCATGTTTCAGGATCAATCATAATGAGTAGTTTTTGTACATCCACATCCGTAAGAACGCCAACTAATAATAATCGATCAGTAAGCTTAAGAAGTGGTCTTAAAAAAATAATCAATCGGTTTATCAAAATAATGACATACATATATTGATGTGAATTGCTCCCTACTTACAAGAATAAATTCTCATTAGTCCAACCAATTGGATCACGGTTGTGAACTTGATTGACTTCAACTGCTTCTTTCAATGCCTCCATTACAAACTCTCTTACTACTTCAAGTGGAAATTTCGGAGAGTACAGTTGATCGATGTTGGGTATTGGTTCACTGGAAACACTTGGTAAACTAGATGTATGGCTATATACAGGGGGTCTTCATAACCAATTTGTGCGAATGTGGATGTGATTGTATATTGCATATATAACATATAAAAACAGGAACGATGCTCGTATTGACATACATAAATAAATGTATATATAATATATACATAAGTATATAAATATGTATTTTATTGTATGCAAGTGCAAAAGTGCGTGATGCGTATGCCCATGAAAGAAGGGAAAGAACAATATAGAGAAATCTTGGGATTTTGTAATAAAACTTCAAATATACTATGCATATATAATATGATTATAATGTTAAAAGTAGTTCTATAAATGAAAACCATTATTTTGCATTATTGTAAATCAATACGTTAAATAAATAACTTGTTAAAAAGAGAGGTAACAGCTCTTCTTCTCATTTTTAAGAAGGAATCCTCAGTCTATCTTTATCTTCTCTTTAAATACAAAACGGGAGAGACTGCATTGAACTTGATTGGAGCAATGTAATATTAACAGATGTGTTAACGTTTGTATTGTCCAACCTCGTCAGACTTGGTTGGCTAAGAAAAGTGCAAACATTTATTCAAAGGAATGTTAAGCATTCACAAACGGTGCATGTTTATGGATGCTTCTCTGCTCATGGATTTGGGATTTTGAGGTGATTCACTGGAAACATGAGCACTGTTAGAATAATATATAATATCTTTTATACGTTTTCCTGAAGTTATTAATAGATTTACGGGAAAAATTACTATGATTGTATACTGGAAGATACAAGAACATAGAAGCAAACTCTTAACTCAATGGAAATAGGAAAACCATATTGTTACATTAGGCTGACCATCACAGTCATCATATGATAATCCAATAGAAAATTTTTTGGCTCTAACGAAAGCCAAAATATCAGAAATACATTCAACGTCAAGAAAAGATTTCACTCGGCTAATCGAACATAATGGGTTATAACTAAAAATCTGCACTAATTTTTTTTTCAGCGTAATTTAAAACATACTATTAACAGAAAGCTAAGCTTTTCCATATAGTACGAATTATATTATTTAAAAAAAGACAAAAATAATGAACTTGAAAATTGGCCATTGCCATCAACCCTTCTTAGTTTAGTCAGGATACTTGAGCAAGGGGTCAGCTGCTTCAAATTTTGAGCCTTCCAACCATTTTTATATACTAAAGCTTTGACTTCTCCAAAACAAAAAAAAAAAAAAAAAATCCCCAATCGGTCGTCATTATGTTAAGTTTGTCGGGTTCTTTTCTTTCGGCACAAAGTAGGTGTTTTTGTTGACCAATAACTCCAATATCTCATTTGCATAATGCATGTTTATGTATGAGAAAAACCAATATTTTGTTCAAACATTAATTGATGTACGTCTCATGTTTTATTATCAGAACATTTGGTCTAAAGAATAGCTCAAAAATACCCTTTTGAGAAACTATTATGTAGAGCATAACTTTGGACTCAATTTTTTTTTAATTTTTATTTTATCTCGACAGGCGTTATAGACATATCGTATGTGTAAAGAACATCGTTGCCCGGCGTTTACGTCCAATTGAGTGAAAAGTAGTTCTCGTCATCCAAAATAGATGATTTTTCACTCAATTTCTTGCACATCCACCAACATTGTGATTTTACTTGACTTATCTGCTCTTCGGTGTACCGCTGCTTTTTTCTGGCTATAATGTTATGGCTATTTAATGTTTTGCAGATATCTGGCTGTGAACATGTGAATTTTTGTTCACCTTCGTTTTGACTTATGCAATCCTTATTGCTGAACGCTGTCTTCACATTCCGAATATTTTGGGGCGTCATAATAGTCGGCTTTCTTCCAAAACCCGGTTCCTTTTCTATTTTTAGAGTACTTAATCTGGATACTCTTCCACCAAAAAATGCAGAATGCCAACGGTTTCTGTTTTTTTTATAAAGATGTACAACGCGGTCGCGGAGATGTTGCTGCTTAGAAAACATTTTAAGCACTAATTGAATTGAATTCGTAAGTTGTTACAAATTTCACGTCAAAAAGATGATACAATCAGTTCGCTAATTGCGTAATATTTGCATTTGAAAAATAAAAATAACAAAATAGCAGACTATTAAAATTAGCGCAGATTTTTAGTTATAGTCCGTTACCTGGAGGTCGTTTTCTGTGAAATGCTTGGAAATATTAGTTGCAAGTTGTCATCAAAGATGTCAGACTATAATAGACAATGGGAGATTGGAGAAAATGTTGATCTGACGTAAGCTACATATACCAAAACAATGATTTATTTTCAATAAAAGCTCTTTAATCTTTGGGAACCGAAAACGTTATTTTCTGAACGCATTATATGTATACACAAATAAATAGTTTGGGAGTCTTTGATGCACATTTTAAGGAAAAGAAAGCTTTCGATTAACAATTATTATATAGGTATATATTCATATTTGAATTTCATATATAATATTATTTCATACTTCAATAAAATAATATATTATATTTCGATACATACTCGGAACAATACAGAGCCCACTTTGTTGTTCACTTTAACAAACTTAGTAAAGTTTTCAGAGGCATTAAGTTCCTTTCAGACTTAAGGTTAAGTTTTACGATAAGGATTTTAGTTTTGTGTTTTAATTAGGCGCTTACTCGAGTTAATTTCATTTGTAAGGTTCTAAGTGGGGTATAAGGATGTTTAATTAACTTTAAATTTCCGAATACCAAAACTTAATAAAACTTTGTTTGTGCCGGTTAAGAGTTGTTCACTTTAAGACACTTTAAGACATTTTGTTAAGTTTACAGATGCATTAAATTCCTTCCAGACTTGATATGAATTATGATAAGGATTTTCGATTAACTTAATAAAATTTTCTTTGCGCCGTTTAGTGTTCTATAGGAATGCTAATTGACAAATTGTTGTATAAATATTAATAGCTTATTTCTTTAATAACCCTAATTACTTATGGTTGTATTGTCTTTGTATGTTCACAGATTTTCTAGTAACGTGTCGAATTATGTCACATAAATGGGTAGTTCAAAATTTTATTTGTTTTATATTCTACATAAGATATCTGATGAATAATAAGTTAAAAGTTAATACTTACGTAATATCCGTCATTCGCATTTGGGGGCGCACCGACTCTGTTATAAGTGAACGCAACGAGTGGCACATTTCATCATCGCTGTATAATTCTTTTAGCTCAGTGCCAAGCGGAGTTATGTATTCATTCTTACATACTTCCATTGTAGTGGCGTGTGACTCCAAGTGAAGTGCAATTAATAGGTCATAAAATCCTTGTCGAAGAGGGCCGCTCATGTATTCCGACCTTATTGCGTACAGAAGCTGTTTTTGGTCAACGTGCTGACAAAGAGCATGAGCAGCACGATAGTTGGACTGGTAACAAAGCGCGGCATATAATGTAAGGGTATGAGCATGGAATGATAATAATTTGTCCATCTCTATTAACTCCAAAATGTCAATGCAGCGATCTTCTTCGGGTATGTGAAGGGCAAGCATTGATACTGGATCTTCGCATAACATAGACCAACCTCTTATATCGGAAAGTTTGAGAGCGTGCACTTGCAGAGCTGTATTTGGAACACGTGCCCATTGATGAGGCCGGAGACACTGTACCTTAAGGCGAGGAGGAGACTGAGGATTAATATGCTTATCGCTTGTAGGGAGAACAGCAGCAGAAAGAGGTAAAGTTGTAGATGTTCGCCCCAATTCAATCTGTAAAATTTCTTTACTCGTTGCTTCCACAAATATTGCTGGAAAAAGCTTTGTGTCTGGTTCCATCATCCAGCGGTGAGCAGTTTCTTTCCCCTCACAAGTGAAACGAATAATACCCGTCGAGGTGTCCACAAAACATCCAATAAACATTCCCTACAGTTGTAGTGTTTCATTACATTTTTGTATTGTTAATATTTACACATGTATGTGGTATAATACAAAAATTCACATTCTTACCTGAGAGGCGCCTTTTCCGGAAGAATCTTGCGTTACTTCATTAAAAAGTTCATCAGCTCTTACAACGTAGCAACTCTGTCTATCAATTCGATCTATAATAACTTCATATTCGTCTTCAATAACAACAGAACCACATCGTACTTTTGATTTGTTAAACTCCTTACTGTGAAGATGATATTGTGTTGTAACCCAACCGACATAGACATGTGTTGGATCTTGTCCAGGAAATATACGAACGCCGTAAAAATATTCATTTATTAACTTCAAACACTCAGTGTCAAATAATTCGTTGCCAGATGATTCTATAGTTGGTTGCCCCAAAGTAGTAGAGGTCAACTGCTTAGGGCCTTGTTGCATTGGAGAAATCGGTATATCGGCCTGTAAATATGTCAATATACGTATGTTTAAAATTAAAATTTCCGTTTTATTTGAAAGCTGAAATTACATACATTATTCAAGCGTAGAGTTGGTGTTTTTGTAGATAATTGAGCATTTACAACATTGCGTCCATGTGCAACAGTATTTCTACGTTCGAGTGATGTTTCTTGGAATGTGCTACCTGTTTTATCTCTACTTTGGTCCCGCGATTTCTTGGAGAAAAATTTAAAAGGGCTTCTACCACGTTTTTTTTTATCATCAATTCCTTCATCAGTTCCATTCAATCCATTAATACCGTTTACCATATCAAACGCAGTAGATCCTCGCATGTCGGTCGTCACGTCTGACTCGAAAGTTATATTTCGTGTCAAGGAACTGCGACGAGGTGGTCTTGCGGGACTGCGTGCCAATTGTTCTTCTGATTCCACGGCGTCATGAAAATTTTGATGAAGACCTTTAATGTCACTCATGGTGAAGCCACCTTTCAACATATGATCTACGTTAGCAGCAGCTTGTTGTTGTTGTTGAATAGCTAAATCTTGAGCTTCGCGTTGTAATTGATACTGCCGTATTTTAATTTCTTCCCATCGACGAGTCTTTTCTAACTCAGTTATAAATTGACTCATGCAAGTAACAGGCAGAGAAAGTCGTAAAAATTCCCAATTAGCCTTTTCCATTGTCTCAAACGTATTATGAGATATTTTCAAATGTGGTGGGGTATCTGCTCCTCCTGGGATACGTGTAACATCTATTCGACAGTCAGGCATTTCTTCAGTGTTTTCGAAAATTGGTTGATCCTTAGTGTACCAATGAGTTACTGGGCGACGCATATTACTAAATTAATTTGAACTTGAAGTGCAAAATGGAAAAATATTTAAAATAAACTTAGAACATACACGCAAAATGGCTCATAGCCCTCCTGTAGGCCACATGTAGTAAAAAACTTCAGCGAGTCCACATCTTGCCCATATATTAAACGTGCTTTTTGTCCCACACCCAAAGTGCAAGCAGGTACAAATCCTACGCCTTCTGCAGACACCTCAGCAAAAGTTGTTTCACCACCTAAAGCGTCCATAAGAAGTTCTCCGTTAAGTGAAAAACCTGCGTACGACATTTATGCGCATTATTAATCCTATTAAAATTATTGATATTAATAATTGCAAAGATTAAAATGCAAAACATTTTTACTGCATACAAACGCAAAGTAATATTGCGATCCACAATAATTAATATTAAAAGAGAAAAATAAAACAATTTTGTTATTAATACGAGTATATTTACGAAAGTTAGTTGGTCAAATGCATGAGCGGTTTGTTGTACATGTTTAGAACCAGTCGAGCACGAGCTTCGTTAATTCAACTCACCTAAAACATATAGGGATAAGAAGATACCCTTGTATTGTAAATGTTCTTTAGAGAAGATAATAAAAGGTGAATGTGCCAATTTTTTTGACAAAAAAGTATGTAGTTGATAGAGAGTTTCAATTTCCTCCACTTAAAGTACTCTTTAATTTCATACAACAAATTTGTAAACAGTGTACAATTTTTTCGATGGTGCATAGTTCAGTTGGTAGTATACAATTATCTTATTATTAATACGAATATTTCATTTCAAAAAACAGCGATTTATTGTGTTCATCTAATTACCTATAAGCAGCATGCGGTAAAACTTCAATTAGTATGTTTAGTAGTCAAATACTTATAAGTATATAAATACAGGGTTTTGTGAAGATAGTTTAGTGTAACTGTAAATATTTAGCTTCAATTCATGAAAATTATAATCAAATTTTCAAAATTTGACATAAATATAAAGTGCGCTGCATTACACATTGTTTAATTTTTATTCCTCTAAAGTAGAACTTTAATATAATTGTTATCTAACTTCTTTTTACTTTCTATTTTAGTCTTTGTGTTTTTAGTTTCTATAATTGATTGCTTTTAAATCAAAGATGTAAGTGATAATTCTTGCACAAAAAGAAATCTCACGTTTTAAAGATTTTTCGATTTTTCTCTTTGGGGTAGAATATAATACGAGCACGTCTATACTTTCAATTACTTCTATGACGAGTGAATAACTAAAGATTATGAATTGAAAGTCAATTCTTTAAGGTAAGGTAGTCCTTATGTTGTATTTACGTTATTCAACAAACATACATATATTTGGACCATTGATATGACACCCCTCTACAATACGATGCTTTTCATTTTAATACCAGGGTAGCCAAAGATAAAGGTGGTCTACTAGTATATTAAGTAACTACGGTAGGGTGAGTGTTATCATAATTTTGAAGTTATAGGTAACTTCTAAAAATTGATGATTTTTCTCGTAATTGCTATCAATATTATATTCCGATAGTACACGTACCGGAATTAGTTGTGATCGCTTGCATGTGACAAATGATAAACTGTGCTGATAATATAATGCAATGGCAACGTAGTATTGAACTAACGGTACTCAACTCAAGGTGAAGAAATTAATGTGTATCTGAACCAAAAGGTACATTTAAACTATTACCTATAGTAGAATTTTTGCAATTACCCGTCTAAAGAACAACAAACAAATTACCGGCCGAGCTATTCAAACACGGCGGCGACGAACTAATAAGGAGCATGCATCAGCGTCTTTGTAAAATATGGTTCGACGAAATCATTGAGATAGTTCAGCGAATTAAAGGACAGCGGCTACGCTGGCTAGGTCATGTTGCCCGAATGAACGAAAACACTCCAGCTCTGAAAGTATTCGACACAGTATCCGCCGGGGGAAGCAGAATAAGAGGAAGAGCTCCACTCCGTCAGAAGGAGCAGGTGGAGAAGAACCTGGCTACGCTTGGAATATCCAATTGGCGCCACGTAGCGAAAAGAAGAAACGACTGGCGTGCTTCTGTTAACTCGGCTATAATCGCGTAAGCGGTGGCTACGCAAATTTAGAAGAAGAAGAATTGTCAACACCTGAGCGGTAAAAATAAATACGTATATTTTCTTTTCTGGCAATTCATCTTTCGGATGAGTCTTATATAACAATTTTCACGTTAAACTTGTAAGCATTTCATTCATGTATAATTTTAAATTTCAAATATATACATAGCATATATTCATACTTTTAACTCAAGTATTATGATTCGATCTATGATTCGAAAAATGGTATGTACTATATTTGTAACTTTCAAAAAACACCGTACTTAAATTATGAGAAGCTGGAAACCCTAAATACGCACGATAAAAAATTCCTTTTTCAAAACACAATAGTTTTATAACATGTGCATTGAAAAATATTGATTAAGGTTGGAGCTTCATGCATTTTATATATATATGTATATACATACTTTATGGGGCAAATATTGTTGTGCTAAAAGCATTACTACTTTTTAGCATATTAACAATCGCATAAAACTTTGTTAACTTTTACTCAGAACACTCATCAGTTTTACTTTCCAATATGTATTTTTTTTAGTATAAACTTCTTTTATTTATTTACATAGTAATGCCCTTACCTAGTATTTGATTATATTACTTGCAATTCTACAATATAACATTTGTATACTGATAAAACAGTGTCAAATGGTTCTGCTTATTGCTAAGTAGTAAGGAGTAGAATGCATTTTCCAGAAACAAGTTATTACTTCATAAAACAGCTTTTGTGTAGGCAAAGGTATGAATATTAGGATTTATTCATCTGATCAATTGGGTAGAATGATGTTTAGTAGATATCAAAAGCAAGGTCATGGACACAAAAAATTTAGTTTCTTACTGATTGTGTGGTCGGCGAGATCTAAGAACACGCCGACAATATCGCCATGCCCGCATTGTTTACCAAAAGATTCACAGGTGCCACCAGCAATTTTTTCTTCCTAATTAAGTTAAAGTTAATAGAAATACTTATATAAATTAGTAGAATAAAAGCGTATTAGGTAAAAAATAATATTAATAAACTAATGATATATTTGGACGTTCGTTCAACTAATTTGAATTGAAGCTTTATACGAGCAAAGTATTCGCTCTAAAGATTGTATAGTATACCGCTCATTTGAATATATTGTATGGTAGTTGTAATTAATGAACAAAACAGCGGAATGAAAAACGCTTAATCTGAATTTATTGGCAACTTGTTTAAAATCCTTACTGATGGTTCTCTCCAAGGCATCGATAAAACAACCAATAACGTCACCTTCCTCATACCGAACACCAAAGTGTTCCACTGATCCGCCGTGCATCTTTGTCACCTATAAGTTTTTACATGCGTGCATACATAAATATGTATACACACATATATATGTTTATGATACATGCATATATATATAATAATAGCATAATGAATATAAAAGTAATAGATATATGTATTTTACATACCCTGACAGATTTTTTAACACATTTTTTTAGAACTACTAAATATTATACAAATACACAGATACCGGTGAAAGTTTCCAAAACTGTTATACTTCCTCTCTTTATAATTTATTTTATTTATTTTTTTTTTTTTTATATTACATTGGGGAAGGCCACTCGTCGGCGCACAAGCACTTCATATATAAACAAATTCAAATAATCTTTAAGAATTACTTATTTATTGCCAAAAAAGATTCAACACAAAAAAAGTTGAGATCATGGCGGTGGTACGACTCTTTGAAAAGCGATTTACATTTAAAATTGTATTGAATTGAGGTTTCCAAAATATGTAAAACTAATTCAATAGGTAAGTTAATGTCAAAGTAAATGAAACTGTCATACCAGTGCAATATATGGCCAAGTGAATATTAAATTAAAAATTCTGCAAAGGTAGTTTTACGAGCATATTTACTTTACAAGAATTGAAAATGGTCAATAAATTTTGAGTCAGTCAAGTCGTTTAAACTATTATTAAATTTTGTTAAATATAAAAACATATTGTCCCAAGTTTTATATTTCATAAAACATGTATATTACATAACTAATAATGCATATATACAAATGTACACAAAGCTCAATTAATTTTTATTTAATAAAAGTTAAGATTGACTGACGTCTTTATGCAATTTTGTATACATCCCTGATATACTATATATGCTCGTTAATATTCATAAATATACATATGTGTATATAATTTCAGTTGATCCACTTGAAGAATGAAATTTTCTCACTAAAACTCACGTTATGCCCGTCAAAAGCCCAACTGGAGTCGTCGCTGCCCAACATGGTCCCTGGGTGACAGTCTGCTCTAGCCCATCCTACACGCATTGGACCCGCTGTAAGAACCTCAAACTCGAAGTACCATTTTCCAGATGTGACGGCATAATTCTTTTCGACGCGATAAGTGCGAAAAGCAGCAAATTTTAATCGTTGCGCTTCAGCTAGTAATCCCTCATTGCCTTCACCTGTTGGTGGATCTAATATATATCCATACACCAAGAGAGTACGTACTGTTTCAGAAGCGGTATCACGATTTGCTTTTTTAATTGCTTCATCCACTTTCGAATAAGGCACCAAGTGTGGGCTGCGGTGGTTTTCGGAGTTTTCATTGAGTCCATAAGTCCAACCTTGTTGGATTCGCTCACGAGCCCATAAATTATGTGTATTTTCAGCCAACTGGTCTACTAATTCCTCTAATTTTGGAGAAAGTGTGACTGCACTGAGATCTAAGGGAGCAGGTTTGTAGCCATTAGCCTGCATAAAGATTTCATTTGGTAATCGGATGGGACGAATACGGGCAGGCGGCTTGTCCATAGTAATATAATATCCAAGAGCTATTATGGTCCTATGAAAGAAGAAATTATGAAACAAAAGTTCTAGGGAAGCATGATATAAATTAATTATTATACTAATCAATTCAACATTCATGCAGTCAACAATCATTCTATTTACATGGGTCTTAGTCGTTTTTGTTGTTGCTTGAATACTTTTCAAATAACTTTATGAGTACACGTTTCAATATTAAAGAAGTTTGAAAGGATAATTTTAGAAGCTACCGAATATCATGAAATATTTAATACTAAAGGGCGAAGACATAATTTTGTTCCACAAAATTGTTATTAGTTTTATTACTACATTTTACCTTAATTTTGCGAAGATATACGGTATTACAAAGTTCAGGGGATACAAAATCGGTCTTATCCATTTTTACCACCACAACACATTAATTAGGAAGACTAACTACTACTTATGGTGTAAAGATAAGGCAGGTCATCAAAAAATATTGTTTGTTGCTTACTTAATACATATATTCTAATTATATATGATCTGACAATTACAAACCGAAAATATTTGGTTTTGAAGCAATTATAGCGATTTGACCATTTTTGATTTTAGCTGGAAGTTGCCATCAAAAGAGAAGGAATAGCACGGGATATAGTGTCGTTTCCATGGCTCGTTGAAAACGATAGCATTTGTTTGCACATTACAGAGAATTAACGATTTAAAAAGTATGATTTAAGTAAAAATTTTAAGATTATTTATTTCTCTCTATTAATCTACCTGTTAAAAATCAAGACAAAAATTTGGCTGTACCAATGCCGATAATTTGGAGGGAACCAAGAAATCATCTTTCAAATATTTGCAAAATATTTTTCCAAAGCTTTCAGTGGCAAAAATAAAAGCCGGATTCATATTTGAAGTAGTAGTTAGCATGTTGCATTCTCATTTAGATAAATTTAGAGAGCATTTGAGCATTTGAGGTTATGAGGAAAAACAAAGAGAACGCTTATATCAAGATGTAATAGATTTTAAGAGACGTTATCTGACAGTATACAATATTGCGTCAGCAGATATTCAAATTTTTACTCATTAATCGGATGCCAGATAGACGGCTGGATTGACAAACATCTGAAACTTGTTTCTTTGTTTCGCTACCATGGGGGATAAGACGATATTTATAATAAAATATTTTTTATTTTACCACTATCGGTGCTGCTAAATTGGGTTATAATTTTTAATTTTTTTCACAATTCAACATTCGTTAGCTAAGTTTAGTTTAATATTTACTAACTTATATATATATATACATACATAAGTACTTCTTACTTAAGTGTTTGCACCGCCAATTGACTATCGTAGCGACGCTCTGGTAAAGGTAGTTTCTCAAAATGAGTAAGACATGGATGTATTCGTTGGTAGTCATCTCTGTGCTCTCCCCAAGACCAGCCTGCTTCTATTTTGTTCAGTGCCCACATTTCATGGATGTTTTCTGCTAGTTTTTCCTTTATATGATCCACAGAGGAAGGAAGTGCGACACCAGAAGTGTCAACAGGGTTAGGTACAAATGCAGTGTCATCTTCGATTAGCCACGGTCCGGCTAAAACATTTTTATTTAAGTTTCCAAAGTAAAAACATGGATCCAAACTTAGATTTTGATGTGGCATCAAACACTGAACTAATGGGGAGAATCCCAGAGGTGGGGTATATTTTAAACGGCCGTGGTCTCCACCAAAAAGAAAGCGGCAACTAAAAGTCAGTATAAAATAGAAAAGTTTGTGCATATACTATATGTATTACTTGTTATTGAATGGAAAATATGGGTATTGACATGGGTATAATATGTGACTTTTGTTAGGACTAACCTCAACTTTGAAGAACAACTCATTACAGGGAAGAACATACCATCCAAATTAAACTCCTTGAAGCAACCACGAACCTTGCTTCCATTAAAAGAAAATGTAATAATAGGTATTGAAAGATCTATAGTAACGCCAATAACATCTCCTTTTCGAATATATGGTTCATGTGGTAAGTCATTAACAACCAAAGTTCGACGACCACCCGTCCATAAATGGGCGCCGTCAAAACCGAAGGAATAAAGATCATCTCCTACGCCGTTTCCTCCCCACTTTTTACCACCACCTGGGTAAGGAACATAGCCAGAAGTATTAGCCCATCCTATTCTCAAATGCGGAATCATGTGAGTAGTTTGCTCAATATGATCCATAGTAACTTCGAAGTACCACTTTTGGTACATCGCAGATCCATCTACTTGACCAACAAATATATTCGGACGTATGCTAAAAAAGTGGAAAATGGATTTATTCAGATATTAGTTAGTCTGAATACGAATAAAAAGTTAAGAAAAATCACCTGGCTACGTGATCCACAAGCTGCGTTTGCAATAATAAATTTTTTCCAGGCAACAGAAAATCGCATATATTATTTTGGGATGATCTAACCGCCACTCCATTGCCTACGCACAGTGAACATAGCACGTCAAGTACTTTGGGATCTCGCCCATGTTTTTCAAGTAAGGAAATTATTACTTTAATATGTTCATCGCGCATCATGTTCAGTGCTTCTGGAGAGTCAATAAGAACACAGTGCAACACATCCAACATGCCGGATCCTTCACTAGATGCTTGTGAGCCTAATCGTGAAAATAGCCAATTTAGGCGGTTACTGTTGGCAAATTGCGCACAATTAGTATGATTTCCTTTAATTATTGCTGCCAATAGTTGATAAAGGTATGTCGATATTAGGTCCCAACTTTGACCAGTCTCATCACCCGCCAAAAAACTGGCCAAAAATCCTTGTGAAGTGATTACATTAATTTTATCAATAGCTTCTAATATTAGATTTAAAACTCCTTCTTCCTGAAAGAGATCCTGCCGATTTCGAAGTGCTCGAAACCGATTTTGCTTCTCTTCGTGTTCTGAAATTTTAAATAATAAATATACATACATATGTATTTTTATAGAGTTTTGAAATTTAATATAATATAATGTTAACTTAAATAAGGAACATACGAGGAAGGGCTAAGGAGTCACTGCTGTTGAAACTTTACATTAAAAAAGTTAGGAAGGCTAAGTTCGGGTGTATACGATAATTTCATATTCCTGCAACTCGCACACATCTTCTTCTTGATTGGCGTAGACACCGCTTACGCGATTATAGCCGAGTTAACAACAGCGCGCCAGTCGTTTCTTCTTTTCGCTA